GGAATGAACCAGTGGATGAAAGACCTCTCTCTGTCTCTCTCTCTCTCTCTCTTTTTCCCCCTTCTCTCTCTAACTCTGCCTTTCAAGTAAAGAAACACTTTTTTTTTTTTTTTTCAGAAAAAAAGTGAAAGTAGGGACTGAAATCTGGGAGGGGAAGTACAAGGAGTGGGAGGCGTAGAGCACCTGCCTGGAAGTGACTGTGGTTTCATGATTCTCACCAGGCACCAGCATCCAGGCCAGCCATTGGCCATCGTGGATATTTGAGACTGGAACCAGTGGATGGAAGACCTCTCTCTCTCTCTCTCTCTCTCTCTCTTTGTAACTCTTTCAAATAAATAAATCAACCTTTAAAAAAAAAAAAAAAACAAAGATAAGTTTATGCTGGCACAAAAAATTTTAAATCCAGACATATCTTTTTTCCTAATATGTGTTTCCACAAATTTTTTAAGAGCCCTCATACATTTTTTTTCTTAATGGGGAAAAGCAAGACTTGGCAAGTTTTTTAAATGTATATATTTTGTATGTTTTATTTAAAGATGTATTTGTTTATTTGAAAAGCAGAGCTAGAGAGAGGCAGAGGCAGAGGCAAAGACAGTGGATCTTCCATCCACTGGTTCACTCCCAAAATGGCTGCAACAGCTGGAGCTGGGCCGATCCCAAGCCAGGAGCCAGGAGCTTCTTCTGGGTCTCCCGTGAGGGTTCAGGGACCCAAGCACCTGGGCCATCTTTTACTGCTTTCCAAGGCCATAGCAGAGAGTTGAATCAGAAGTGGAGCAGGGGCCGGCATTGTGGCACAGTGGGTTAATGCCCTGGTCTGAGGTGCTAGCATTCCATATGGGTGCCAGTTCGAGTCCCGGCTGCTCCTCTTCTGATCCAGCTCTCTGCTGTATCCTGGGAAAGGCACTGCCTTTCAAATAAATAAAATAAATCTTAAAAAAAAAAAAAAAAGAAAGAAAAGAAGTGGAGCAGCCAGGACTTGAACCAGTACCCATATGAGATGCTGGCACTGCAGGTGGCAGCTAAATCAGCTACGCAACAGTGCCGGCCACATAAATTCTTTTAACTAGCAAATGAGTTAAGGCCATTGTGCAAAGAGAACAGAAAAGGAAAAGAAAGTGCTAAACCACAATATCTTTGCGAGGAAGGACTATGTTACTTTACAGAAGACATAATATGAATTTGCATTTTCGAGAGAGAAAAAGAAAACTTGGTCCTTCCATGGTGGATGGGAAAAAGAAATCAAAGTTGGGCTGTTGGAGTAGGCACTTAGCCTAAGGGTTGACATTTGCATCCCATATCGGAGGACCTGGGTTCGATTCCTGGCTCTGCTCCTGACTTCAGCTTCCTGCTAATGCAGACCCTGGGCTCCCAGTTCTGCCCCAGGTCAAGCCCTGGCCATTGCAGGCCTTTAGAGAGTGAACCAACACATCGGAACCCTCTCTCTCTTTCAAATTTATTTATTTGTTGTGTTTATTTGAGTGGCATGTATATATATATATATATAGAGAGAGAGAGAGAGAGAGAGAGAGATTGAGAATGTGATGTGGCATATTTATTCTGGCAGTGACAGCAAACAAAAAATGCACCTTAAAGTGCACACAAGATGCCTTTTGATGATTCACATCAAGGCACCACCATCTAGGCCAGCCATTGGCCTTTGGGTCATGGAATCAGTCCTCCAGCCTCAGGAACATCAAACCCTGGGAAAATATCTTAAGAGCTTAGGTAGGGGCCGGCGCCGCAGCTCACTAGGCTAATCCTCCGCCTTGTGGCGCCAGCATACCAGGTTCTAGTCCCAGTCAGGGCGCCGGATTCTGTCCCGGTTGCCCCTCTTCCAGGCCAGCTCTCTGCTGTGCCCAGGGAGTGCAGTGGAGGATGGCCCAAGTATTTGGGCCCTGCACCCCATGGGAGACCAGGAGAAGCACCTGGCTCCTGCATTCGGATCAGCGCGGTGCAACAGCCCCGGCGGCCATTGGAGGGTGAACCAACGGCAAAGGAAGACCTTTCTCTCTGTCTCTCTCTCTCACTGTCCACTCTGCCTGTCAAAAAAAAAAAAAAAAAAAAAAAGAGCTTAGGTAGGCTATGGACGTGACGAGGTAGAAAGCCCTCACATGGCTGTGTCCACCTTGCCCCAGCACACCATTTGGCCCTGTCTACCACCCCTCTGTTCCCCCTCTGGTGTCTCAGCTAAACCGTTAGGTGGGGCTGAGGGAGGGCAAGACTCTTTTCCATTGGAGGACATGAGTCAGTGAACAGTGAGATTCCACTTAATCATCTTCCTAAAACAAGGGCCTTAACATCAGGAGCTAGAAAAGCAAGGAAGTGATTAATCTAGAAGTCAGCATGGTGAATATCCCTGGGGAAGAATAGGACAGGGTGGAGCAGGAGTGGGGGATGGGGAAGGGATTTACCCTGGATTTCTGGGATCTGACAGTGTTCTTCTATGTAATTTTTATTTATTTCTTTATTTGAGAGGTAGAGTTACAAGCAGTGAGAGGGAGAGACAGAGAGAAAGGTCTTCCAACTACTGGTTCACTCCCCAAATGGCTGCAATGGCCAGAGCTGAGCCAATCCAAAGCCAGGAGCAAGGAGCTTCTTTAGCTTCCTCCCACATGGATGCAGGGGTCCAAGGACTTGGACCATCTTCTACTGCTATCCCAGGCCACAGCAGAGAGCTGGATTGGAAGAGGAGCAACCAGGACTTGAACCGCCACCCATATGGGATACTGGTGCTGCAGAAAGAGAATTAACCTAATGTGCTACAGCACCGGCCCCTGCAACTTTTTTTTTTTTTTTTTTTTTTTTTGCCTCAAAGCAAACTTACTGTTTAATTTTTTTTCCACAAACTTTTGCAGGCCCTTGACCTGAGTGCCAGCTGTGCTGATGGCTGTTTTGCAATTATACTCACATGATTTATGTGCTTTTCTAAAAGTGTGTTAGATCTCACAACTTTAAGTGGCTTAAAAAAAAAAAAAAAAAAACCACAAACAATAAAGAGTTTTTTAAGGGACCGGCACTGTGGCATAGCAGATAAAGCTGCTGCCTGCAGTGCTGGCATCCCAGTTCTGATCCAGCTCTCTGCTGTGGCCTGGGAAAGCAGTAGAAGATGGCCCACGTCCTTGGGCCCCTGCACACGCGTGGGAGACCCGGAAGAAGCTCCTGGCTCCTTGCTTCCTGTAGGCACAGCTCAGGCCGTTGCAGCCAATGGGAAGTGAACCAATGGATGGAAGACCTCTCTCTGTCTCTGCCTCTCCTTTCTCTGTGTAACTCTGACTTTAAAATAAATACATAAATTTTGAGAGAGAGAGAGAGTGAGAGAAAGAGAGAGAGAAAGATTTTTAAGTAGGGGAAAGAAGGACCAGACTTGTATTACTGAAAGATCATTGGGTGTGGAGCAGATAGCAGACCCCAGTGGGGCAAATCTGGAGGCAGGAAAATCTGTTAAGAGTTGGCTGCTAGAATCTGGTGAACGAGTACAATGACCAGAAGTAAGAAAAGGTAAACTGTTAGGGGTGCGATACACTACTACTAATAACACAACCCAAACAAGACAGGGCCCACTGTCTGTTTTTATGCCTTGGATGAATTTAGCCCAGGAATTCCGGTCCAAGGGCAGGCACCTGACATGGGCCAGGCCTGCCTCCTCCTTTCTTCTCTGGCCTCCTCCTTTCTTCTCTGGCAAATCTACCCAGAGGGTCTTGGCCCGCCTGGCCAGCGGCACTGAGAGCACATTTTTCATGAGGCCATGTTATTATCCAAGCTGAGCTGGCAGAGGGGTTTCCTACATGATGATGACACTCATGTATAAGTTCTAGTTGCTTGAGACATCACAGAGTGATTTTACTTCTGCTCCTTAGTCCTAGAATGGCAGCTCCATGAGGGCGAAGGTGTCTGTTCATCTTATTCTGTATCATCTTATACCGTATCCCCAATGCCTAGAATTGGACTTGGTACATAGTAGGTGCTCCAAAAATACAACTGAGCGATAAGCACATTTAACTGTTGCTGTTACTGTTACTATTGATATTGATATTTAATCACCTGCAAGGATAGCTAAGACACATAGTATTCTCTTCATCCTGGAAGCCAGAAACCAGAAACTTCTAGGGAGATTAGAGAACATGCCAAATAGGGAATAATCTGTTTGGTGACAGAATTACGATTTAATTCCAGGTTTTACATTTCACTTCTCCTGAGTCTTCCACTTCTTCATAGCTGAAGAGTTCAGGTTTACATTTCTTATGCCTCTAAAACACCAGACGGAAGTATTCCAAAATACACGGGATATCAGGCACCCTGTGTTGCCTGACGTGCCAGAGTATGGGGTGAATGGGGCCTACCCGGCTGCCACTCAAAGTCTCCTGACCCGAAGCCATCTGTCTTCTCTCCATGTCCTCTGCTGCCTTATCCTCTCCACCCTGCCGGTTCCACCTCTCCAACCAGAAAAAGTTAGGGAAAGCCTGTTGCAAAACCACGTGCTCTGATATTACTATTATTATTATTATTATTTAGTAGGGAAAAGAAAAAAGGCAACGTGACAGTGGGTAGTTTCGATGCTCTTCAAAACCCTGTGTCATCCAAACAGAATCCCCTGGGGAGACTCAAAAAACGTGTTGTTCCTTGAAGTTCATCTCAGTCTGTCTCCTCTGAGTCTTAATTAGAATCAGCAAGTTGAAGCATACAGCACAAGGCAGGTCCTGGGGAATTCAGAGAGTGCGGTAACAAGAGCATTTATACATCTACAGTTTTATATGTCTTCTGTAGGATTCTTGGTCAAACCGAACAGCTAACCAGAAAATATCAAAGCCAGTAGTTTTGAGAAAATCCCTAACACACACACACACACCCCACTCAGGAAAGTCAACCTTCTATTCTAAGTTTCCTTCGTCCCCTTTAGACCTGACCCTCTGTCCCATGCAGGCTGGTCTAGTGGAGTTGGAGAGACCTACTCCAGCGAAGAGTGCGTGCCGAGCCCCGAGAGCCGCACACACGGCACTCACCAGAAACTCATCGGCCAATTCCTCTTTGTGGATTTTCTTGCTTTGGGCCTCGTGCAGGAACTTCTGCAGAGCTTCTCTCTGGTCCATGCTGCAGAGCGAGAGAAACCGTCTCCGAGGGGCCTGGGGGAGGGCATGTCAGATGTGTGTCATGGCCGAGACCCCCTTCCCGGCACGCCGCCGCTGCTGCCGCCGAGCCGAGCGTGCTGCAGGCTGTGGTTTTACTGACTGCATCGCAAGCTCTGGAGGAAATTAGTACGCAACCGGCCTCTGTGGTCACAGAACCACGCCGACTTCGCACTCCCGGGGGCCCTAGCGCCTTCCTTCTCCACAAACGAACCCCGGGTGCCGTTCAAGTTTTTCACAAAACAGAAGCTGAGCGGAACGTCAAATGGGGGCTCTCATGAGGCCTCGGCGCCATCATCCTGGATGAAGCAACATTCACCCCTGGGCTTGCTTCCCGAAGGCAGAATGGCGGCTCTCGTCCAGGAGGGCTGCCTCTCCCGGCTCTCCAGGGCTCGGTGACACCTTGCTTCCTCATGGCCGCGAAAAAACTCCAAGTTCTCTTGGGCCGGGAAGAGGAGACAGGCGCTGGGTGGAGTGGGGACTGCACCCCCAGGGTCTCTCATCACCGTGAGCAGTGGCCACGTGTTCATTAGAGAAGACGTTTCTATCCAGAACATTTTCATCTGCCCTATGGAACTCAGATTCTCTTTTTGGATGAACCAAAGGCAGCTGGCAAACTGTAAAGGAAAAAAAGAGAGGACAGTCAGCCACAGCCACCTCCTGACAACAGTGTAGCCTTTAGGGCAGGAAACCTGAAGACACTTGCACTTTGCAGCCACTGTCTTGGAAAAGCTACAGTGGGCATGCGGTGTTTCGGCCGACAAGCAGGCTGCTGTGGAAAAGGCCTCTGTAGTTCTGTCTGCGCGAGCTCCCTCATCAATGCAGACAACCCCACTCGTGTCCAGGTCAGGGTGAGAACACCCAAACCCAGGGCCGGCGCTGTGGCGTAGCAGGTAAAGCTGCCACCTGCAGTGCTGGCATCCCATATGGGTGCCGGTTTGTGACCTGGCTGCTGCACTTCTGATCCAGCTCTCTGCTATGGCCTGGGAAAGCAGCAGAAAATTGCCCACGTCCTTGGGCCCCTGCACCCACGTGGGAGACCCAGAAGAAGCTCCTGGCTCCTGGCTTCAGATTGGTGCAGTTCCGGCCATTGTGGCCATCTGGGGAGTGAACCAGCAGATGGAAGACTTCTCTCTCTGTCTCTCTCTCTCTTTCTCTCTCTCTGCCTCTCCCTATCTCTCTGTGTAACTGTGACTTTCAAGTAAAATAAGTAAATCTTTAAAACAAACAAACAAACATGCAAAACTGGAATATCATGTTTGCCCGAGGGCAGAAGTTCAAGAAGTATAAATTTTTTAAAAAAGATTTATTTACTTGTTTATTTGAGAAGCAGAGTTAGAGAGAGGGAGAGACACAGAGAGAGGTCTTCCATCTGCTGGTTCACTCCCCCAATGGCTGCTACAGCTGCAGCTGGTGGATCTGAAGCCAGCAGCCAGGAGCTTCTTTCAGGTCTGCCACGTGGGTGCAGGAGCCCAAGCATTTGGGCCATCCTCCACTGCTCTCCCAGGCCATAGCAGAGAGCTGGATGGCAAGTGGAGCAGCTGGGACTCAAAGTGGCACCCATATGGGATGCTGGCACTGCAGGCAGAGGCTTAACTTACTAAGCCATAGCACCAGCCCCAAGACATAAGATGTTAAAGGCGCCGGCGCTATGGCGTAGCTAGTGGAGCTGCCGCCTGCGATGCCGGCATCCCATATGGGCGCCAGTTCAAGTCTCAGCTGCTCTACTTCTGATCCAGCTCTCAGCTATGGCCTGGGAAAGCAGTGGAAGATGGCCCAAGTCTTTGGGACCCTGCACTCGTGTGGTCGATCTAGATGGAGCTCCCAGCTCCTGGCTTTGGATTGGCATAGTTCCAAACATTGCAGCCAACTAGGGAGTGAACCAGCAGATGAAGGACCTCTCTCTCTCTCCCTCTCTCTCTTTCTCTCTTTCTGTCTCTCCTCTTTCTGTGTAACTATGACTTTCAAATAAATAAGTAAATCTTAAAAAAAAAGATGTTAATAAAATGAATCTGAAATAATATTGAAGAAAAGAGGGAAATGTATTGTATCTAAAATATCAGCAGTCTTTTCTGCTTTGCAACATTATCCAACTCCTTTCAGGAAATCCTGTGTCTGAAGGCTATCCCAAGCCCTAAGGGGCCTGCATCCTTTTCATTGAGCTCCACAAGAAGAGAAGGTCAGTGAGGTATTCGGACTATAGGCAATTTGGAGTCAATATTCCAAGAAAGTAATTTCAATTCCAGCCTATGCAAATTAAAATAAACCATAATTCTTCAGCAACGTTTTTGGAGGGAACAGGACAATATTTCTCAAATTATCACCATGTAGCTTTAGAGAATCTCTTGCTGCTTTAAATGATTAAATGTTTCATTTGATTATTCTAAAACACATGAAATATAGGAAAATTTTATTTTTAAAAAAATTTATTTTTTGAAAGTCAGAGTTACACAGAGAGAGAGAAATCTTCCATCCACTGGTTCACTCCCAGATGGCCACAAACACTTGGGCTATCTTCCACTGCTTTTTCTGGCCACCAGCAGGGAGCTGGATCAGAAGTGGAATAGCTGGGACACAAACCAGCACCCATATGGGATGCTGATGTTGCAGACAGCAGCCTCACCCACTATGCATCCCCCCTAAAATATAAAATTTCAAGTTCAAACAAACTGAAACCATGTAAACTTATGTACACAGTTAGATAAAGACCAAATGATGCAAAAAAAAGAACTGATTGTGTGAGTGTGATGGTATTAAGGATGCCTCTAAAAATTACTATTATTACTCTTTAAAAAAAAACACAAAAATTAATGAGTGTTCAACAAATGTACTGAGCACCTACTAAATGCTAAGCACTATATTAGGGGCTGGGTATAAAATAGAGAGCAAGCCAGAACAGGTGAGAAACATCCTTAACCAGTTAATAAAACATCTCAGTACTAAAGCTACAGACTTGATCATGGATCGAAAGAAAAACATTCCCAACTAATTCGCTTATTTGCAAAGTTGGAAAGCACACTGCTAAAAGGAAAATGATTTTCTATGTTTGGGAAAACAAGGGATAAAATCATCTCATTATTCCTTTACAATGGTCTTACTTTCATAGAAAACAGAGCTTTACTAATTATTAATCTGTTGTGCCAAAAAATGCCTACGAAAAGAAAATATAAATCTATCTCCCATATTTCGAACAATCTCTCACTAGCTTTCTTGTCTTTTCTTAGGGAGGGAGGAAGTGGAGAGAAATACAGGAAAGAAACGCTTGCTTCGAGTTCAAAAAAATGCCACCTGGTTAGATGCCTCTGCCCCCACTGTTCTTTAACTCAGAAGCTGTGAGGAGAGGCTGAGCAGAGCTGCAGGCTTGGTAAATAGCAAGTGACAGTTCATAGGAGTGTCTTCTACTGTAAAACCCAAAGGTCTGGAAATGGCATAAAAAAATCAAACCTCAAAAACCCAGTTAGCTACTAGGCCATTTCCTGAGGAGACCACTCAAGCAAGCAAACAAAGGCCAAAAAAAAAAAAAAAAAAAAAAAAAAAAAAACAACAAAAACACACACACACACACACCTTCCAGTTTTGTTTTTAACAACGCTAAGCTACGACTTCACTTTTCACACTTCCTTCAAGGAGCATCATGGTGTTTGATGAAGACTGTGTTGACTCACTTGTATCTCGTGGGAAGATCAACAGCAGGGGAGGGGAAACAGCATGCCGCAAAGGTTGGAAAATACCTAAAAGAATTGAAGAATTTACAGTGAAACATTTAAACCAGTGTCGCATAAACCCTGCATGAACACAACAATTCCAGTCATCGAAAGACTCATAAATGCTTGGCCAAAACCACCCAGTGTCAGCTCTAACAATAAAATTGTGGATGTGCAGGGGTGCCGGGGGCACATCTCACTGCTGCCCCCTGTGGTCAGAGGGGGAAGGACAACAGAGAGGAGTGCCAGTCACACTCACCTACTCCAACAAGAGTATCGGTTTATGGGGCAACATCAGTGTCGTGGAGTGTTAAGAGTTAGATGAGAAAATCTCTTAAGGAGAATTTCAGATTATTATGACAAGATAAACTAGTCAATAGGAAAAACACTCAGGTTTCTCAGTCTTCTTCCATTCTGGTACCTTCTGGAAAGCTCCACTTCAAAGAACCAGAATAGTCTGAGAATCTATGGCAGCAAATTCGGGTTCCTCACCACGTCGTCAAGCCCTGCACCATCAGCCATCCCCACCCAAACTACTCAGCCACATCACCCGCAGACCTGGTTCCTTCCACCACCACTTCTGCTCCTTCTCACCTTTATGCCTAATTTTCTCCAAGGCAGAAATAAAGCAAGCTATAAAGCCATAAAGCCCAGTTACTCCTTTTCTTCAAGAATCTTGTCTCAACTTCATCTCATTATTACTTTCTCATAGCTTAGATCTCTTCATATAAATCTTTGTATTCAGCTATAGAAGTTTTCTTAATTTTTTACCTGTTCCTTGCCTTTAAAGAAAAAAAAAAAGATTTACTTTTATTTGAAAAGCAGTGTAACAGAGAGAGGGAGAGAGAGACAGAGAGATCTTCCATCTCTTTGTACCCATGTGAGAGACCTGGAAGAAGCTCTCTCTCTCTCCTTCTCTCTCTTTCTCCCTCTCTCTTCCCTCTGTAACTGTACCTTTCAAATAAATAAATAAATCTTTATATATTATATATAATTTTCAAAGTTTTATTTATTTGAAAGATAGAGTTACAGAGAGAGGTAGAGACAGAGAGAGAGAGAGAGTTCCGTCATTGGTTCACCCCCCATCTGGCTGGAATGGCTGGAGCTGAGCCAACTGGAAGCCGGGAGCCAAGAGCTTCTTCTGTGTCTTCCGCATGGATATAGGGGCCCAAGGACTTGGGCCATCCTCCAGTGCTTTCGCAGACACATTAGCAGGTAGTTGGATCAAAAGTGGAGCAGCCAGAACTCTAACCGGTGCCCATATGGAATGCCTGCACTGCAGGTCAGGGCTTTAACCCACTGCACCACAGTGCCAGCCACAATAAAACAATCTTAAAAAAAAAAAAAAAAAAAAGGAGTTGATTTAAGGAACTGATGCTGCAGTGCAGTGGATGAAGCTGCGCAGATTCACTCCCCAGTTGGCCGCAATGGCCAGAGCTGCGCCGATCTGAAGCCAGGAGCCAGGAGCTTCTTCTGGGTCTTCCACATGGATGGGCCATCTTCTACTGC